TTTGCCCACTAAGGTACCAGGGCCGTGAGGGCAAGGACTTCAAATTGTTGACTGCTCTAGCCTCAGATTCTGACACTAAGCAGTTAGTAAACGTTTGTTGCAAAGTGAGTTACAGTTCATTATGAAAATCTAATATGAACTCCCCTGATTGCACCCCACAGGTGAATTCCCACAGCATTTAGTTTAGTTTTTTTTTTTTTTTTAATCTTTATTTTACGTGGTGCTGAGGATCGAACCCAAGCCCCGCGCTTGCCAGGTCAGCGCCTTACCGCTTGAGCCACATCCCCAGCCCACAGCATTTAGTTTTAATGGTATCTTTATTGGTTTTTGTACGTGATTCTCAAACAAGATTGTCAACTCCCCAGGGAAGAAAACTACACTTTGCTGAACGAATAGAATAGTAGGTGCTGAATAAATATTACTTTAGTAAATGAGTGTTACCACAAGCTTGTACCATGATCTACTCAGAATCCCTCTGGGTTCAGCTTTATTTTAGCTGAAGCAGAATTGAGGTCCACCCTATTAACAGTAATGATCCCTTTCTGACTTAAAAAAACAAAACAAAACAAAACCCTAACAAATAATTATAATGCCCATTTTACAAAAAACAAGATTGAAGATTTAAATGATTCCTGTCCGCCAACCCCAATCATAAGCAGCAGCAAAGGATGCTTTTAAACATTTAAATAGATGATATATATCTTTAGTTTATAATTGTAGTTTGAATCTTTTTAAAGGTGTTTACTCCCTTTATCACATTTTTTTTTTAGGCTCAGGACCAAGTGTCTGTTAATTAGCAACAGTTGGTAAGATGAAGGACTTAAAGGGTCAGGTGTGTCCTGCCTGGGTTTTATTATTATTTGGTACTGAACCCATGAACTTGAACATGCTAGGCAGGCACTCTACCACTGAGCTACCCTCCTAGTCCTTTTTATTTTGAAACATTCTTTATTGCCTAGCCTAGCCCCAAACTTGCAGTCCTCTTGCCTTAGCCTCTGCAGTAGCTTGGATTACAGGCATGTACCACCATGCCTGGCTGCTGCATGGGTTATTGATGACTGATTCAAGAAACTTTGACTTTTGGGCTGGTATAAAAAAGTGGAAGAAATAACAGCTCACTCTTTCTGAGGCTGGTTTTGAACTCAGCAATCCTCCTGCCTTAGCTTTCCAAGCTGCTGGGATTACAGGCATGGGCTACCATGCGTGTTAATATTTTTTTTTAATATTTATTTTGTAATTGGACACAATACCTTTATTTCACTACATTATATTTTACACGATGCTGAGGATCGAACTCAGGGTCCCCTGCGTGCGAGACTAGCATTCTACCGCTGAGCCACAACCCCAGCCCCTCCCCCAGCCCATCAATATTTCATCATAATTTTTTAAATGCTCCCATGGCATCTTTGTTTTTTAAATTATCAAATTCACCATTTCAGCAATTTTAAAGTGTACAATTCGGTGGTTTCTGTATATTCACAATTTTGTGCAACCATCTGCACTAATACTGATCATTTCCTTCTCTCTCCAAAAAGAATCCTTTACCCATTAGCAGTCACTCTCAATTCTCCCTTTCCCCATCCCCTGGCAATCAGTAATCTACTTTCTTTCTATGGGTTTGCCTATTTGGGGCCATTTCATATGAAAAGAATCAAACAATATGTGATCTTTTGTGTCTGACTTTTTACATAGCATGTATTCACGATTCATCCATGTTTGTAGCATGTATCAAAATTTATTTCTTTCTAATGGTTAATTACATTTAAAAAGTGGAAGAAAATAATAGTAATCTCAGTAAGTTCTGGTTCTCCTGTTTTTCTGTGTACATAATTAGCTAGCTACTTCAGAACCTAAATGCCTTTGTCAACCCTGCTCCTGCCCTTGTTGTTAAGAAGCAAGTTTTAAGTGCTTTTAACTCCTTAGAGCAAAGCTTTAGAGCAATAAATGGGCATGGGGGAGGAGGGCTGTTAATTTTAGCCATGGGTTCTCCAGCTGGCACACTCTTTCCATCTTGAGTCACTTCCACACCCTGAGCTCTGAGAGATTCCTCCTCTTGGGGGCTTCCCCATTCCCTGGTTAGGTCTGAGCCACAATGGTTGAGCATTCCAGAAACATGCTTAGGAGAAACCTGGCTAAGTCATTTGATCTATGGCCCAGGAGGCAAAGAAAGCATGGTGATGAGATGCTTTTTCCAGTGGTTCCTCTCTTGTGTGGCCTTAAGAACCTTTCAATTCCCCAAAAAGCCATATGGCTCTTGTTTTGTGAGTCTTCTATTACTTGCAGCCTTCTGAGGTCCTTCCAAGACCCCATAGTTTGTTTCAGTTACAGGAGAGAATTGTTAGGGTCTGTTCCCCAGGACTTTATACTTCATGTCATTTCTTTCTTGCTTTTTTTTTTTTTTTTTTTTTTTTTTCTGTACTGAGAATTGAACCCAGGGCACTTTGTCACTGGATTATATCCCCAGCCCTATTTATTTTTTATCTTTAAACAGGGTCTCATTAGGTTTCCCAGGCTGAACTTGAACTTACTGTCCTCCTCCCTCAGCCTCCTAAATTGCTGGGATTACAGGCATGCATGGTAGTGCTTGGCACCTCGTGCCTTCTCATAGTTAGCATGACAATGTGACTTAGTCTGGGTTAATTCTTCTAGAACAATCTAGAAATCTAGGATGTCTCCTTTCTTCTCTCTTTCCAGCCATTTGACTTCCCATGGGGAAGGTAGCAATTAGGGAGAGGGAACAGGTAAGAATTTCCAGTGTCTTGCTGGTATATTTTAATTTATTTAAATTTAGGGAAACAGCAGTCTAATCAGGGGATAATTAATTCCCTCATCATTAGGGGCCTTCATGTGTGCCTTTTGCATATGGATGAGCTTCAGGGTCACACTGTCCCTTTGAAGGGAGACAGCTGCTGAAGGTGAGAGCCCAGTAAGCTCTCTAGGCACTTGAGACAAGTATTTTTCTGTGCCAGTGTTCCTCCCTCCACTCCCCAAGAACTGGATTCCTATGGGGAAAGCAGAAAAGGTTCATGGGTGTAAATTTCCCAGCCTCCTCAGATTCCTCACAGCCCATCAGCACCTCAACCTGTACCCTCAGGTTCCATCCAGCCCTCTCTCTTCCATTAGCTGCATGTTGTGATCTTTTGGGGTGGGGGTGGGGGGGTGGGGTTGATGCAGCCCTCCTCAGAAGGTTGTTTGCCTTGCACCTCTGCTTTACGTTGGTTCATCAGTGCAGGGCCCTGTTTGCTTCTTTTCCCTGTAGCAGTCTTTTTTGAGGGAGTTTGATGCCCTAACATACATTCTGCTCCAGTCCAGAGAAACAGACTTCTTCCTCCTCACAATTACTGTTATATGCTACAGGGACTCAGGGAGGCTCTCTAACACCTAAAGCACATACCTACTAACATGCATTCCCAATTCTAGTGTCAAAGATAAACACATGGAGGCAGGTACAGTCCTAGGCAGCCCACACTGTCCTCTTGTATACTACACTATCTCCTAACCTCCCTGGGGCTACCCCATTTCCAGGGAGCAGGTGGGGCACAGATGGGGGTGGGGAATGGGACCTGGGTGGTTACCATGGCAACACAGCCTAGCAACAGCTGAGAAGATGATGTGTGGGCTCTCATAGGATTGTTACAAGAGCCAAACCTAGAATTGGGGCCTCAGAGGTGACTGATCCCAGCTGGGCAGCCTGTGTTCCCTCCCCCAAACACACCCCTTGATTCCACCCCCACACCCCAGCAGTCCCTCTTTCTCAGAGAGGGCAGAGTAGGGAAAGCTAATGAGCTAACCACAGGGCTTCTAATGCTGCACAGCTTTTGGGGGGCAGCTATGGGTGGGGGCAGGTTAGGGAGCAAAACTGAAAATAAAAGAAGCAGGGCAGTTACATTTCCTATGGCTCAGTTACATTCCTTTTCCTTTCCTCCATTTTTCTTTTCCTTTCACCCTTTCCCTCCATCTTTCTTAGAAGCTCTCTCTATTCCTTTTCTGGATTAGTCCATTGCCTTTCCTCCTACATAATTTTCGCCCTTTTCTCTCATCTTTCTCTTGGTATCTCCTGACCTTCACTGACAAGGAACAAGCAAGCCACGCTTCTGATTCTAGTTTTTCTCTTCCACTGGTGCTCCTGAGGACTTTCCTGTTCAGTTCCTTTTCCCTTCCTTTCATTCTGTCCCAAGTTAAAACCCTTATCAGTCCCCTGCTCTAGGTAGGCAGGCCATATCACATCCAGCCTGGAAGAATTTTCCACCTCATCCTTATTTTCACTCTTCTTTCCTGCCCACCCCCTTCTCCTCCTCTCTACAGCGGTGATAAGGCAGAACCAGGGGATTCAAGTATCTTGCAAAGGCTTTATTTGAAAATTTTGAAACTTACATCCCACAAGAATTCAAGATTATCACCACAAGAAGAAAGAGATAATACAAAAATATATATCACAGCATAGGAGCCAGGTAAGAGGGGAAGAAGGTAGATGGAAAAACTGGTGGAAGTAGGGAAGGACCTGAGGAGAGGGAGAGGGCAGAAGGTAAAAGGAGAAGAATGAAGGAGGGAGGAAAGGAGAGGAAAGGGTAGATGTGGAGGCAGAGCTCCGGATGGCCTTGAACCAGCTGGCTCCAGTCCCTGGCAGCCTAGGTGGAGTGAGGGAGGCCCTATGAGAGGCTGGGAAGTGGAGAACTGGCTCTGGGGCTCTGAATTCCAGAGAGGCGCGCACACACACACACACACACACATACACACATACACACAGCCAGGACAGACAAGACAAAAGGGACTTGGGAGGGAGGGAAGGGCAACTGGGAGTCCCTTTCTCATGTAGTGCAGCAGGCAACTCCCCAAAATCCATCTCTCAGACAACAGAATTAGCATTGGGGCCTCATTACCCACTTTCCTGTGGGGGAGCCCTCCGGGTAATACCAGCGCCCTTGGAGTGGTATGTAAAGACAGTGAAACTCATGACATGGTATGGGATGGGGCCATGATAGATGAGGGCATGAGGAGCCCCAGCTCACTTCCCACCCACCTCTTGGGCAGCATGCAGGGGCCACAAAAACTAGACCAGTGGGCATGAGCAGAGAGTGAGTATGCAACACTAAGCCACAACATTGGGCCAGAAATGCTCAGGAGAGGTGAGGTGTGCATGAAACATGGACTCAGCAGTGACTGAGCCAAGGAGGGAGAGAGAAAATGTGAAACAAGAGGGAGAATGTGAGCAGTCAGCTGAGCAAAGATATGTGGATGGGGAGAGGGTACAGAAGAGTGGCCATAAGGAGCATGAGTATGTGCAGTGGCCTATGAGGGTGGAGGTGAATGTGCAAGGCTTTCATGTGAGTGTGCGAGAGTAGGGATGGGGGACCCAAAGTCACAAGTATGTGAAACCCCCAACTGCAGGAGGGTGGGCAAGTATGCTTGCCCATGGGGCCAGTGAGTGTTCCAGGTGGTGTGCAAGGGCAGGAGCCCGGAGCCCCTGTGGCCCCAGCTGCCCCACCCTCAGTGGATGGCGGCTATGCAGGCCTCTTGGCCTCCTGCTTGGCAGCACCCCAACATGGGGGGGGCATCACAGATTCACCAGGGGAATCCTGAGAGGAAGAGGGAAAGGGCACAGTCAGGAACCAAGAGGTAGGCCACAATCGAAGGGGAAGTTCAAGACAGAAAAGGGGCTCAGGGTTAAGAGGGCAGAGTAGGAATTAAAGGTCAGCATGAGAATAGGACACAGAGCCTGAGAAAGTGGGAGAAGGAAGGGCCCGCCCTAGAGAGGAGCTGGCCTGGTCCCCCTTAGGAAGGCTTGGGACCAGACCAAGAAAGAGAGCCAAGGGCTGTGAAAGACCAGGCTACCCACCAAGGGAACACCCCCATCCCAGCTCTGGAAGCCTAAGTTGCCTTCCCTCCTCACCCTCCCATCCCATTGCCCCTGCCCTCACCGGTTCAACTGGAAGGCTGGAGCCCCCTTGGGCTGGGGCATCCCAAGCCGGGGTCCCCCTCGGGGCTCCTCATGGTCAGGGGTGGGGGTGGGCGAATCCCCGAAGGCCCCCAGCACAGTGACTCCAGCTGGGGACAGGTCCGTCAGTGGCTGCTGGCTCTCCTCCTGCCTTAGGGCACCTTGCTGCCCGGAAGGTCTGCGCCGCTTCTGGCTGCGGTCCCAGCTGGTACATGGGAAGGAAAGAAGTCCTCTCACACACTCAAGTAGCCCCCATTCTGGGCCTATAGCACTGGTCACCCCAGCCTTTCCAGGGACTTCCAACATCCTACGGTAAAGAAACTGGCCTCTGACAGTTCCCTATACTAAATCTCCTGGAACTATAGGCCCATAAAACCATTCCCAGGGGGCTCAGGAATGTAGATCATGCTCCCAAACTGATCCAGATCCACAAGATTAGTATCCTCTTCCCCACCAACACAGAACACCCTAAATTTGCCCACTCCCCCATGCATGGCGAGAAAAGCAATTTCTCTTCTTCATAGCATGTGGCACATTTAGTTCTAGTTCAAAGTCAGCTAATGACCTGGACATCTGAGTCTAATGATTCTCTCAGTAAAGTGTGAAGGACTGAGTGACCCAATATTAAATACGTGCAAAGAAAGCTCCAGATTTTCTTCCTCCTGCCTGGTAGCTCTACGAAAGAGCCTTGTAGCCTGGATCACTTTTTTGTGTCTTGGAGAAATGTCCCCTCAAAGCCCCCAGTACACATAAATAATGCCCCTTTCCTCCCAATATCCTTGAACTTCTCTGTAAGAAAGAATCTGCACTGATTCACTGTTTTCCCCTACTCAAATCACTACCTTTCCCAAGGTCTTGCCTTCATCTACTATTTCCTACCCCAACCCCAGCAAAATTGCTGCTCTTGTCCCCCTTCCTGTTCCAGCCTCCAAATATTTGCAAACATTCAGTCCCCATCCACCATCAACATTCTCCCCGCCAGCTTACCAAAACTTGAAGATGATTCCAGTAGCCACAAGAACAATGATGATGGAGATTGTGATTGTGACATAGAGCTGGGGGTCCACACCTGATTGGGGTGGGGAGAAAGTTGTAGGGAGGCCTGAGGAGGTAGGAGCCAAGAGGCAGTGGGGATGGGGTTAGACTAAGGAGTATTGACGTATGAACCCACATTGCTCAACTCTTTCTGCTTCTCTGAAGCCTCCCTCTTTATTCTTATCACCAACTTTCCCAAGTTCTCAGCTATTTTCCACTTTCCCAAATGTATTTCACCTAACGTTACATGTATATGTGATTAGGATGAGGAACCAATATCAGAGAGAACATACCTCTCTGCATAGAAATTAGAGGGTGAAAGTGTCCTAGTCTCTGCCCTCTCCTGACCCTATACCACTGGCCCCATCCCTCTACTGGCACTCCCTGAGCCAAGATATCACCCTTGTCGTTCTTTTTCACTGTGGTGTACTTCTATCTGGATACTCCCCCTGTATCAAGGTCCAGCTCAGATGTCAATTCTCTGAAGGTGTCCTAATCCCCTGGCATAAGTATTCTCTTACTTCTCTATTTTCCTAACAACAGGCTGTTTCTGCCTCTGTTAGAGCATTTATTATGTTGACTCATCCCTGAGTGTTTACACATCTGTCTTCAGTGGACCTGCATTCCTTGAGGACTCAGAAAACATCTTCATCTCTGCATCCATGCCAGGATACAGCCTGACACATTCACTGAAAAAACTTAAATAAGGCCTCCCTTAGAGTCTTCAACCAGCCTCCCCACCCCTCATATCCCCACTATTCTTGCCCCCTCACCTTCTCCATGCCCCCACAGGAATGGCCTCAGGGTAGCAGGTGTTTCTCCAAGGATGAGCCCATCTCCATCATCCCGCATGGAGTCTGAGTTGGGATGTGGAGTAGCCAGCCCATGGGGGGCTGCAAAACCATAGTCCAGGGGCAAAAATCCAGGATTGACTGAGTTGGGGTCCCCCCCATCCTCTCGCGACACTGTGGGGCCCCACACAATAGCCCAGGGATACTGAGATGAGGGAGGACCCTCCTCAAAGCCTGATGGGGTAGCAGGGGGCGCAGTGCCTGGCAGAATTTGTCGACGTGATCTTGGTACCCGAGGGGACCGACTTGGTGGAGGTGCCCGCTCCCAAATGCACACATGTCGTGGAGCTGAGGGGCCACCCCGGGCACATGGGGGGCGGGCAGGGGCTGGTGGGGTTCGAGGGGAGGAGGAGGAGCCCTGAGCAGGCGGTGGGAGGGGCAGTAACAGCAGTGGCCAGAGAGGAAGGACATGGGACAGCAGCAGAGCAGGCCTGTAAGAAGGGAGAGAAAATGGGTGAGACACAGGCCAGTGTAGGGGTGTGGACCTGTGTAGGGGTGAGGACATGCTCACACTAGAAATCCCAGGCTGCCTCCTTCCAGGTTTCTCTGAGAGCAGGCAGGCCTTGGATAAACTCTGGCCTCTTTTCCCTTTTGTCTTAGGGGCTAGGTCCCAGGATGGAAGGCCATGGATGGGCCTAGGTAGGAAAGGTCCAAGCCCCCAGGGAACGAGGTCTCCAAGCTCCCCCTGCTGGGCCAAACTTACCACATCCTGGACTCCATGTCTGAGGTCTTCCTCAGCTGTGACCCAGATTTTCAGCCTTTACTGGGGGAAAAAAGGGTGGTCACACCACAGCCCTACTTCCCCAGCTCATTCATCTACCAGTTCTATTCCCATCTCCCCTCCCAGGGTGAATGGCTGCAAGGCATGCTTCTGACTTCCAGGATCCGCTGATGCTTAACATTCTTTTAGGGGAAAAAAAAAAAAAAAAAAAACCTTCCAAAGTGGTTCCCTCACTAGCCCCTAGCCCCATTTACAACTTCCCAGGTCCCTGTTACCTCCATACCCCAAGGTCTACTCTTTCTTCTCTGGCTTCCTTCCTTCTCACTTCCTCTGCCCACAGCTTAGGCTTTTCTTGGATCTTAATTTAGAGCCAAGAACCTTGTGATTCCTTGAGCACCTACCGCTAGGGAGGGAGTCTCAGGGTTGGGGGAGGGAAGGGAAGGCAATCCCAGCAAATATGTGCATGTGTTTGCACAGGAGAGCCTTCCAACCCTCCCACCCCACTTGTAGTCCCAAGCATTTGTCTTATGATCTGCCCTGGGAGTCATCTGCATCTTCAGGAGAGAAAGAGGAAGAGAGGGAGAAATAGAAGGAAAGAGAGGTGGGTGGGAGAAAAACTACAGAATATAATTTTGCTCTTAATGTTTAATCATCCAAATGCATAGGTACCCTCTAAAGAGAGGTTGAGTTGAGAAGAAGCCACCCCCTCAAATGTAGCTCTCCTGGGTAGAGTCTTCGGAGAATCTGGATGGTTGGTTTTGAAAGAGGGGCATGTTCTCAGAGCTGAGGGTGTTAGATCCAGGGGGCAGCCTCCCCAGAGTGAATAAAGACATGATATATGTGTTTTAAAATATGGACATTGAATACCCTCGGAGAACAGCAAGGGAATAAGATAAGCAAGTATGGGCAAGGGAATGGGTAATGGACAGTGGGGAGAGATGGGAAGTGGGTGAAGGCTGGGAGAGGGAAGGCTGGTCAAGCGTGGAAAGAGAGGAGAGAGACAAAAAGGAAGTTAAGCCTAGGTTGAGTGCAGGGTAAGGGAGAGCAAGCAGCCCTAAAAAGGAATAGACTGGGGAGAGAAGTGGAGAGAGTGGGTACACAAGACCAGAAATGCTGAGGAAGCTAAAGGGAGAAAAGAATAGGATAAAAGGTCAGGGAGGGGAAACAGAGCAAAGAGTCAAGGGGCAGGAAGAGGAAGAGGAAGGGTCCAGGTAGAACAGTCAGAGAAGTGAGAGTAGAAGGGGAAGGGAGAGAGAAAGATGGATAGATCAGGGATAGAGAGAAATAAGTGAGAGAGGAGAGAAAACTGAATACAGAAGACGTAATGAGGAAGGGACTGGGGGCAGAGAAACAGGGAACGGCAAAGATGGAGGAGTTGGAAATTTAAAGGGATATGGAGACAGGGCTGGGGCATGGTGAAAAGGGATAAAGAATAGAAGTGAGAGGGCTGGGTCCATGGTGGGGAGAATGAGGCTAGAGGAGGGAAGGGAGCAATGGTAGAGGAAACCAGTGGAGCGGAGAAGGGCTCATCTGTGGCCACCTGACTCCAGGACCCAGTTGTCCCTCCGCCTGATGCATTCCCTACCACAGTCAACTCCAGTGCCAGCACCCCATACCCCTTTGGTCACCCCCTCCAGGAAGCCCGCAGTATCCCGGCTGGCGCGCCACCCCCACACTCTCCTGCTCCTCACCGACCTGTTGTGCGCAAGAGAGGAGCTGGGGGTGGGGCGGGAGCTTTGGGGTGCGGGAGCCGGTCCCCATCCCCAGCATTGCGCCTAATCCCGCCCATCCTACGGGCTCCCGCTCTCGGACAGGGCTGGAAAGCGGTGGGAGTGGGGAAAACCAGGAAAAGGTGGTCGGCAAAGGGAGGGGAGTGCCTTAAGCGAAAAGGGGACCCAAGGCAGAAAGATGCACGGAGCCCGCGGGCAGAGCCAAAGGCTGAATGGAAGCAGCCGCGAAGACGATGACTGCTGCACCAGGGAGAGCAGGATGGAGTCCGGACAGCAGAGGAATGGAGGGCAAGGTGGAGAGCCAGCTTTTGGGGGTTGGAGCTTGGGCCCGACTAGGGTCGTGCAAAAGGGCGCGGGCCGGGAAGGGCAGGGCTGGGCTCCCTCCGGGTGGGGACGTGAGGGTCCCCTTCACTCACCTGCATGCCTAGTGCGGAGATAAGACGACTGCAGGCATTCGAGGTTGCACTGGACTGGGGGGTCGCAGAAGCAGGTGGGGCACGAGGCATGGTCGGGAGGTTTGGCCCACTGCAAGGCGCTGGAGCCGGAGGGAGGCGGGCGCTCAGGGCGCGGGGCGGTGGCGGCGGGAGATGCTCCCCTCGGCTGGGTTCGACTCAGCTCGGCTGTGCTCGGCGCAGCTTTTACGGCTCGGTCTCCGCCTCTCCCCCTCCTGTCTGTAGTCCACTCACGGGTTAACCCTCCTGCTGCCGCGCTGCAGAAGTGGAGACCAGTGTTTTCAGGGTGGAGGACTGGAGAAGGCAGCGAGAGTTTGAAGGGGTTCTGGTGGTTGGCTTCCCGCCCCTCACCGAACTCCAAAGACACACACGATTGCCCCAGGTAGTTCTGAGATTTTGAGTCACCCAATATTCCTGAGTACTCAACTCTATGTTGCCCTGGTAGAGAAGGGCCGAGCTCAAGGCTGTGGGGATATAATGCAGAGAGGGACTGAGGAAAAGCTCCTACAACAGCATTGGAGTATCTCAACAGCGTATCCCCTATTTATCGCTGACTCTGCTACAAGGCATTCTCCCTGAAGCAACCCAAATGATCTTTAAAATAAGTGGATCAGGTCCCAATTACTCTACTTGGCTTTTCCAGTACTCACAATATCCAAACTCCTTACTGTGACTTACAGGGCAGCATAAAATCTGGTCCCTGGGTGTATCTGATTTTCTTCCCTGAAGATCTCTATGTCTCAGCCTCAGTGGATCTGATCTAGAAGACAAACTGAATCTACCTCATAGCTTTTACGTTTGCTGTTCCCACTATCTGGAATACTTTTCCTTGACATTTCACAATGACTCACCTTTTTTATTCCAGTTTCATTTAGCTCCAGTGTTTTCTGGCAGGCCTTCCTTAAACTCTTTACCAAATGTAGACTTCCCTAGCCCTACTCCCAACCTATCATGCCCCATACTCTTCTTTTATGTTACGGTTGTTTGTCCTTGTTGCATTTCTAGGATACTGCACTCTTCCTAGTTGCCATCCACTGGCTGTTCTTTCTTAGTCTTCCTCAGCTCTGGCCTCTAAATGTTGGAGCCTTCTAGGGCTTGGCCTTCTCTTTCTACATTCTCTGTCCAGTGATCTCATCCAGTCCCAGGGCTTAAATACTATGTAAATGTCAGTGAGTCCTAAATTTATATCCAGAGCACCAGACACATTTATCCAACAGCCTACTTGACATCTCCGTCTAATAGCCATGAAAAATTAATGTGACTGGAATAGATGTGTTGAATGCTCCCACCCGCAATCCATTGCTTTCCCAGTGTTCCTCATGTGGGGACATGACAATTCCTAGTTAAGGTTAAAAACCTAGGATGGTTTGTTTTTACTGATTTCTTCCTTTAGTTTAGTTCCCCAGCAAGTTCTATGGGCTCTGCATCCAACATATGTCCTAAATTCATGCCCTTTTCTTCATCTTTGTTGCTATAGTCCTGGTCCAAGCTATCAACTCTCATGTGGAATATCACAATAGCTTCCTTACTGGTCCCTCATTTCTGGCTTATCCTTTACAAACTAGTCTCCACAATATTAGTAATACTTCAAAAATCTAAATCATATCATGCTTTTATTTGTTTAAAAGTTCAAGTGGCTTTTTATTATACTTAGAATAAATCTGAACACCTTGTAAGGAGAAGCCCACCAACTTGTACTCCCATTCATACACAAAGACAAATCAGACTTCTTTGTGTGGGCTGGGGACAAGTAGTAAGGAATCAACCCAGAGCTTTATATATACTGGGCAAGCACTCTACCACTGTACTACAGCCTCAGCTCTTTTATTTTTTTATTTTGAAATAGTCTCATTAAATACCCGAAACTGGAATCGAACTTGTGAGTCTCCCATCTCAACCTTCCAATTATCTAGGTTTACAGGCCTGGGCTACCACACCTGGCTCAAATCAGATTTCTTACTGTTCTAGAACATCAGAAATTATCTTCTTAACAACCCTGCACTTTGAGTCCCTTTTCCTGAAATATTTTGCTACCCCTTTCTCCATGTTTACCTGATTGACTTCTTCTTGCCATTCAGATCTCTACTCCAAATCTAAAGTGGGGGGCTGGGGGCATATCTCAGTAATAAAGCATTTGTCTAGCATGCACAAGGCCCCGAGTTTAATGCCCAGCACCACAACACACACACACACACACACACACACACACACACACAAAAAAATCTAACATGGTCCCCAAATTCTGCTTCATCATTGTTTCATTGTCTTTCAGACCCATTGCTTTCTGGAATGATCTTATATCTCTTTAGTGTCTGTTCCCACATACGCTTGAGATCAGAGACTTCATTTTTCTTGTTCACCCTAGATCCCAACTACACCCTATACTACCAACTACAGTACCATGGCACATGGCAGATACTCAATATTTATTGCTTAGTGAACTCCTTCTAGGACCCTTGCCCACTCTAAACTCTTTTCCTTTTCTCCTCTGCTCTTATCTTGAATTTCCTATCTATCTGCCTGCTCTCCCTGATCTCTGCCCACAGCTTCAGGTTGAGTCTTTGCTGACATGCACACCCCTCCAGACTCTCCCCCTTCCTATGCTGCATTATTACCATCATTAGCCTGGCACTGCTGCCTCCCGGAAGGAAGCCTGCTATTCTGACCAGCATCTGCAATGACTGTCCTCCTCCTTGCCTGTCCCTGACAGCCCTTCTTTTGAGGTCAAATACCAAATGAGTGAGCCATCCTCTCAGTGTCTCCCAGTGGCACATTAGATGGGAATGGGACCATGGAGCCATGTGAGGTAGTTTGTGTGAAACCTGCCACATCTTTGTCCAGTGAACCTAGTGCATCCTGAGGATATGCTTTCAGTGAACTCATTGTGTGACTGATGTGGACCAGTCACATTTATCAGATGAATAGTTACTTTAGTATAAATACCTTTTACAGCTGGGCATGGTGGCACATACTTGTAATCCCAACAGCTTGGGAGGCCAGAGCAGGAGGACTTCAGGTTCAAAGCTAGCCTCAGCAATTTATCGAGGCCCTAAGCAATATAGTGAGAACCCTGTCTCAAAATTTAAAAAATAAAAATAAGAAGGTCTGGAGATGTGGTTCAGCCTCTGGGTTCAATCCCTGGTACACCCCACCCCTAAATTTTAAAAAAAGTCACCACTGCCTTTGTAGAGTTTATTATTTAGTTAGGGAGACAAATATAGAGTGATAGGCTGGGGCATGGCTTAGTGGTAGAGTGGCCCTGGGTCCAATCCCCAGTAGTCCTCTGACTCTATGATATCTTTTTTTTTTTTTTTAAGTTTTTTTAGTTGTATTTGGACACAATACCTTTATTTTATTTATTTATTTTTATGTGGTACTGAGGATCAAACCCAGGGCCTTGCATGTGCTAGGCAAGTGCTCTACTGATGAGCCACAACCCCAGCCCTCTATGGTATCTTTATCATCACCTCTGGACTCAGGTATATGATCTTAGTATCTGTCAAGGTGAATTGTCTCAATGTCCAATGTCCTGAACTCTTCTCCCTTTCAGCTAATCTTGCTTGCTTCTTTTCTGAAAAAAATAGAAAAAAGCAGAGAAAATCTTTTCCACTTCTACCACCACCTCCCAGCCCTGTTGCTCCTTCTATGTGAATTCTAGACCCTGTCACCCACTCAAATATATTACTTCAGTGACTGTCCCTCCCTCTTCTGCAGCACCACTTTTCTCTTCCTGACTCGATTATTGCCAGCAGCATGTAAGCATGCTGTAATTTCTCCCACCTTAAAACAAATCCTCGGGCTGGGGTCATGGCTCAGTGGTGGAATACTTGCCTCACACATTCGGGGCCCTGGGTTCAATCCTCAGCACCACATATAAATAAGTAAAATAAAGGTATTGTGTCCAACTATGGCTAAAAAATAAATACTTGGAAAAAAAATCCTCCTCAGCTATGTGTTTGCCTCCAGCATCTGCACTGCTCTGCTTCCCATTACAGCAAAGCTTTCTCAGAAGATGGCTTCCATTTGCCCTCTCTACATTTCCTCCCCACCATTCCTTCACTTTCTCTCTGGTCAACTCAAATATAAACAGTTTAATTTTCAAAATTCATTATTTTGGTAATAACTGGTAACACATTGGCATGTTTAAAGTAAGCTTTAAATATATAGAAAGGTATAGAGTGAAAGTTTTCACCCCACCCAGTTCCCTTCCAATTCTCATCCCTGATCTCAGTGTGGCTCATTTCTATGTATTCTTCCAGAGTTTCTTTATGTATACAAATAGCAATATAAATTTTCTCTCCCCCGCTCTTTTTTCTTTTTTATATGCAGCATTGGAGGTTGAACCAAGGGGTGCTTTACCTTAAGTTAGATCCCAGCCCTTTTTGTTTTTTATTTTGTGACAGGGTCTCACTAAGTTGCTGAGGCTGGCCTCGAACTTGCAATCCTCCTGCCTCAGCCTCCCAAGTTGCTAGGATTGCAGGTGTGCATCACCACACCCAGCTCATTTTAACCAATTTCAAGTGTACAGTTCAATGGTATTAAATACATTCATAATGTAAAAACATCACCATCATCTCCATAACTCTTTTCATTTTATAAAACTAAAACTCCAGGGCTGGGGATATAGCTCAGTTGGTAGAGTGCTTGCCTTGCATACATGCACTAGGCCCTGGGTTCAATCCCTAGCACCACAAAAAACAAAACAAAACAAAAAAAACCCTCCATACTCATTAAACAATAACTCTCCAGTACTGCTCTACTCTCCTCAGCCCCTGGCAACCACCATTCTACTATCTGGCTCTATGATTTTGATCACTGCCTAACTCAAGGACTAAGTTTGCCAGTGACTTTCATCCATGGGATTCCTTCATCCTCCCATCCCCTATTTTCTTTCTATAATTACTATCCCCAAACTTTTTTTTTTTTACCATTTTGTTATTTTAAGACTTTTTATTATCTTTTTTTTTTTTTAGTTTTTTTGTTTGTATGTTTTTGTTTTTAATCAAAGGTCCCTTACTGCTTCTGAGGCACTGAGTTAGATCCTCAGCACCACATAAAAATAAATAAAAAAT